GCTTTCGAGTTTTACTACTGCCATTTGTGTTTAACCGATAATGCAACTTTCATAATAATAGTGCGAATTGATTTCCAACAATCCATTTTTTTTTTCATGTGCCCTTTGTGTTGCTTCCTCTTGAACGAAACGGTCCATTCCATTCGTCATAGCATAACCACCACAGTAGTGTATTGCTGGTGTACAACTGTGTGTGCAAAAAAAAAATCAATTATTTAAATTTCGTTCCTCTATTCCGGCAATGCAACCGGAATCCCACATTCGAGTCCGAGTGGAAGCAATTACTGTTAACACGCGCATTCGAACCTAATTGAAATGATTTTTTATTGCTTTATGAACATATAGACAACGCTGTTAATAGTAAAACGCCTAAAGTCGAACAAAATTTAACAGCTACACTAAGATCATAACGTCGTTTGTACTCGGTAAAGGGTATTTGGTGGAAATCGTTGAAAACTCGGGGAAACGAGGGAAATATTCTACAAAATGCAATTCGCCTACCAGTTATTAAAATTAAAACAAGAAAATAACTCTATGTATACAATATACATATTACAAAATAATATATTTTCTTAGAGACAATATTTTATGAGGTTAATCTATATTTTTACAGATACGTTCGTCTTGAACGTGATTATTTAAAATGTGTTATTTATTTTAACGGTATGTACTTTTTCTGATTGTCATAGTTCGCATGCAACACATATCCGAGCTGTTAGTTGAAAAACACTCTTAATGGTTTGGGCTTTGACCACGTCGATTTGAGTATCTTATTTATTGGTGGTTTTCCGTTACCAGATGTGAAGTAATGTGTGGCGCCATTTTTATTCAATCATACAGTACGAGAAGTATGATAAATTACAAAAAAACGCATGCAATGTAGGTTATCAATTACTTTCAAGGGTAAAAATGTATTCTGTAGTAGTAAAATATAATTTGTTTATAAGTTTTTAGACTTATTGCAATATAAATTACCATAAAAGTTGAAAAAAAGTTGTAAAAAAATGCAAAAAGTGTTGAAAAAGGCCGTAAAATAGGTCTATTTAAGATGTAGAGTAAATTTCAAAGTCGATTAACTCTGGAACCAGAACGCATTGGCACAAAAGCTCGAATACGGTTCTTATTATTTTTCATAAATAGCATTTAATCGAAATTTGAAGAAAATCCGTCACTCCTTCACTGCGACCTCACCTTGTTAGACCACGTCGATTTGAATATCACATTTATTGGCCGTTTTCCGTTACCAGATGTGAAATGATGTGTGGCGCCATCTATGATCAAAAAAATCGCACGTGCCTTATTCACAGAACGTTTATCGTCGCTTCTCGCATGTGATCAAAGGCGCAAATTGTTTGGCTTACATACCGGTTCCAACGTTTACTGTGGACCACTCAATATCTCATAGGGTTCAGTAAGAAGATTAATATTGTTTTTATACAATGTGATCTCAAGTTTTCAGATTTTTTTTTCGCCTTTAACCCTTTCTCAAACTAATTATTTTTATATAATAAATTAAGGATATTTTACTAAGAATGTTGACTGGTTGATAACCAGTTTTTAAAAATTGTTTTTAAAGTTATAAGAGTTTAAAATTTATGACGGGAGGGGAAGTGCGCGCAGGTAAAAATATTTCTCTACACTCCACCTTTCCTCCTGCCCTAAACTTGAAACCAATAACTTTATAAATAGTTATCCAAAACTGGTTATCGACCTGTCGACATTTTTAGTACATTATTCTCAATTCAAAAAACTAACGAAACGTATGCGTTAGCATTTGAGTTTCAAAAGTTGATGTAAAAATAATTAGTTTGGGGTTGGGACATAAAAATGTGTGGACAATAATTGAGATCACATTACATAAGAACACTATGGAAAAATTATCAATTAAACCCATCGAGATATTGAATGGGTCACGTGATCACGTGCTTTCAGGGCCGATTGTTAAACATATATTTGAGAGGTTATGGAAATGGTAATGAATCAGAGCCGTTTTGTCGTCTGGACAAAATTTGTTTGTAAAATATTATTATCTATGCGGTTCCTCGTTATTTATCATGATAATAATTATGATTCACAGACTCGCAGCTATACATAGTAGCTTTTAAACACTAATCTTTGGTACAGTCATTTAAATATTTTTGTATTTACTATATTATATGGGAGTGGAACATCCGTTTTGATAAACCGCAAACGAAAAACTGGAAAAATAAATAGAAATCACTAAAGCGTTGATGATAATATTTGACAACCACGGTTTGAGACAAACAAATGTCTACTAGTATATTAATATGAGATATACCTATTGCGTTCTAGTTGTCGCTCAATAAATTTTAGGTTGATACCAAATTGTCATAGTTTCACTTTGTACACATACTTACATAGTTTCAAGAATGATAAGTACAAACAGCTAAAAAATGTGACTCAAAATTCTGTATTAACCTTTTGATTTTGTCCGTTAGAAACTTTTTATTCTATTGTCTACGATTGTTACTTGTCATTATAATAATATAATATGATAGTCTACATAATTTTTTATCGTAGACCGTTCACTGCGGTACAGTTTTGTTGAAAAAAAAAACCAAAAAGTTTTTCAGCCGAGTCTGTAACCACGAAAGAGCATTTTCATGTCTCGTTCAAGTACCGAATAAATTTAGAGTAGCGGTGGAATTATAGATAATGATATAGTATATTAACGAGCGGTAACAAGCTACTATATCAAAACATCAAGTTTCTGGCTAATATTGTAGCGTTTAATATCTGGCTTAAAACAATTCATAGAGAATTTGGGCCCTTAAACTATTTTCATTTAGTTCTAATATGAACGTTGAACGTACAACATATCTCTCACCCCCTATCTTCCACTCCCAACCCCATCTCCGCGTGGTAACGCTTTTTTCGTTACGCTTTTTTTTCCGGTTATGTGCCAGAGCTAAGACATGAAAATGTCAAAACAAAAGGACGTTAGAGCGATAGAAGAAGGGGAGAAATCGCTGTATCCATTTCCGGTGCTTCGTTCCCAACGGATTTCGCATTATTTCCGCTCCACTGTCGACGCGTCTACCTATTGCTTCGCCAGCACACCGAGTGAAAATTGATGGCCACTAATAAACTATGTACCTACCGACAGCTTGAAACTTCATCGGATAATAATTGTCGAGGCCGTATAGTTTTGTGTTGCTGAAAATTAAAAATAGGTATTTTTATCTTTGTTATCCGTACTTGATAAACAACAAAAACTGCGACGTCACAACTTGACTGGAAAGTCTAGCATTCATCTGTACTTGTCCAACGAGCCTTTGTTGTCGTGTCTTGGGCGGCGTTTGGGAGGTTCTAATTTTCACCCTTATGCTTAATTTTCCTTTAAAAAAATTTCATATTGGTCTTTATTTTTTTTAATAAAATGATATTACCAATTTCTTCAATTCATAACTGACATTGACAAAAATGTTTGATTTCTTTGGTAAGCTATTTGTACAGAAGGAAAGTAAAATATTATAATATATCATAGCAATTAATAACTAAAAAGCGAAGTTGGCGATAATTGGTGTATTAGTAAAAAATATTAGGTCAAAAATAAGGGTGTGTTTTTTAGTGGTAGTTTTTAAATAAAATACACTGTCCATCATTTTATCGGCTAAAAACTAACATGAATGAAATTTAATAGATTTTATCAAACAGTGCATGGTCCCTAAATACATATTATACAGCCACAGCGAACAAACTGAACTTTCTGTAGGACACATTTTTACAAAATATACTCATATAACACCACAACGTACATTTTGATTTGTCTTAGTGAATCGTCGTCGAAGACAATAGAAAAATGTTCATCATTTTTGCGCCATGATTAAAAGGCTAAAATATTATACTGGCGTTTGAACAATACCATATTATTACTCATCCTGATTTGTATTTATTTTCCAAGAAACGGATTCTTTTGTTTCCAAGTACAAATTATGTTTTTTAATCTATCAAGTAGACATTTTGTTTTGCACTCGGTTATAATTGGTTAAGAATTTCAATCTGTTCTCGTGATTAAAACTCGAGTGAACGTTATAGTTTTTTGTGAAGTTTTGGAAGAATTTAGAAATCGTCCGGAATGCGTTTGACGTTTATTTTTCAAGATCTATCATTTTTAATTTTTTTTTTTTTTTACTCACACGAAATCAAAAGTTTTTGTGTCAAACTGTCACTGTAAAAAGTGATTCTGGGAAAACTAAAAATGAAGAAGAATACAAGTTAGAACTCTTTTCATGGGCGCCATAAAAACTTATTTAATATAAATTTATTGACATATTATGTAAAAGAAACCCAATCTGAGTTTTCGAAAAACACAGTGTTGTGTTCCACACTTGACACGACGGCCATAGATAACTTATATTATATTGTAAGCTCTATAAAAGCGTATACAAATTTAAAAAGTCTAATACGCTTTGTGTATTTGAATAGAGCGAGCGCAAGTATTTACTCCAAATGACAAAATATACACATTTATAACTTTTTTCCTCTGTTCTTGTGGACACTAATGAAATATGGGTGTAAAAATGTAACAAATCATTCCATAATATGTTCTCCCATAAAAAGGCATGTCAGTTGTAAGACATTTTTTTAATTTCCCCATAGACCCGTGTAATATGAACAAAGAAAACTATGATTGGGGACGGGTTTTATTCTTGGCGATGCGAGAAAAGTGCAATTAATAAAACATAATAGAGTGCGTGGGAAAAAAATATATATTTTTTGAGTGGACAGTCGTTTTTATGGAGAAAATATAATATTAGTTTTAAAAAAAAATGCCTAAAAGCGCTTTAATTAGATAATTCACAAAACAATGCATCGCGTATTCTAATCTGTCAAAAAATGTATTTTAATTATATTTAAATAGATAAAAAAATTGTTTCTGAACAATGTACTTTTAATCATAAATTTAAGATCTGTATGAAGTATTTAATTGTTAGTACAATTATATTAATTATAATATTACAAAAACGTTTGCCTTGATCATTTATCAGTAAAAAAACATATTTTAAAATAAACCTACCAGCAGAATAGTCAACTGTTAAGATAATATATTTATTTTCATTTTTGATTAAAACGTCAAAAAAATGTTTTTATGTAGTAATGTTGGGATATTTATGTTTTTGACTATAAAGTCAATTTCTTTTAAGGGAAACAGAACGAACCCAAATTTATACAAATAAGAATAATGCATCAAGTCATTTTCCAAGGTGTCAACCAAACCGTTTCAATTTTATTTTCGCTTCTAAGGCCAATTTTTTATATTAGTTTTTAAAATGTGATATAAGCGTTTATATTTTTTATAGGTAGTTGTAGGTAGTTTAATTCATCAAAATAATTTTCTAATAGCTCAATCAATAATCGGCTTTTAGGTCCCCAAAAAGAAAATTATATACCAAATAAACGGTCATATTATAACAATTGACTATGTAAAAAACTATCATGATAAACTGTACTTAATCTACAACAAAAGTGATACAATTATAATACAATTAACGTATCTTTCTCAGTGCTACTTATATTATTATTATCATATATATATATATATATATACACGAGTACTTATTGCGCTATTAAATTGTATATCTTTTCAATACCAAAAAAAAAAATAAGTATTTCTTTAAGGTCGATACCTGTGTGTCGCTTCAAAGTGAATACGTACAGCCATATGTATCAGAAACAATGTATTATTTTTTCTGTCGACCAATTTTTCATCCATCAAAAACCTCATTGCCCCTCCTCATTCGTCTTGCCCTCGTTCTACCATCAGTTACTGTTCTGTCCTTATCTGAGTACGCCGGTGCCGGTGCAGACCAATGTATTATGATTGGTTTCAAAAGAGGAAAATCCATTTGAGCCGGTCGGCGTTGTGGTGTGACTAAAAAAAAAAAAAAATGGAAACCGTTTGTTGTAGGCGTACAACAGCTCTAACGGTACGGTGCCGGTGCTAAGGCGGCGCCGAGTGAAATTCAAAATGCATTAGAGAGCTGATCCGAGACAATTTTCTACACCCTGCTTTGCCTATACTTACTTGCGTGCACGGCACCGACTGGCAACTACTACCGCCGCCGCAGTTATATAGCTCACAAGTGTTATCATCAGGTCTCGGATAGCATCGCCAAGCTGTGTGTTTTGTGCGTGTACTTAACTTGCCTTAGCCGTCGTTTCTCGGAGCTCGCGTAGGATGTATTTTTTGCACACAACAGCACTGCGGCGGAGATTAGATAATAATAGCCGTGCCGAGCATTGGCGATTACCAATATATATACACCGTCTGAAACGTACATGTGTTGTAAAGCTATTGGATGTATCGAGTATACCGGGTCTTACAAACGACTGTCGATTAAGTTTGCTGTGCGAATCGGGTTTTCCAGTGTTTGCTCCGAGCTGCACTTATTATTATTACTGTGTAAGCGTTTGTTGTACTCCCCCATAGGCCGTGGCTTTGATAGTTCCACACAAGTACTGGAAACAATAATGCAAAAAAAAGGGAAAAAGGAAATACAATATCTTAAAAACAATAAAAAAAATGTAATAGTTTACCGCCAAATTATCCATATGTATCGCCAGACACGGGCACTATTATTTTTCTAATTATTCGTTAAATCTATGAAATTATAACTCGAGCACAACTATTTCATACCAGCTATACTACTTTAGTAGCCTAATACACAATGTACGCGTAAGCCCAACCGATAAAACGCGTTTGATAAACAAGCTGTTGTTAGTGGAACAGTATAAGCACATATAAGTGTAATAAAAAATAGGTTACTCATAAATCGTGAAAAAAAAAACACTGTTGAGCTTCCACTCTCACTACTCTTCTACGCTCACACACTTTTAACACTCATTTTTGCTTTTATTATACTCTACACGTTATATTATTATCTTTCATTATATCTACGCACATTTTTAAGACATCTATCCAGCTCAAAACTTTATACTATGCCACATTTCTTAAGCCTATAAAAACATACTTACATATTTTCCATTTCTGTCTGTACTTTAGTAATGCTTATTGTTAATTCAAATTATAAGCTATACTATTGAACTTTGAGGGATAAATCAAAATTGATTTTTTTATTGTTTTAAGGTTCAACCTTTTTTTTTTACTTGTACTTTGTTCCTAATTATTATGCTGTAACTCGTTATTATGTACACCACTTTAGTATTCATACTCTCGAGTACAAATCTCCTTTTATCTTAACAATGTAACACAAAATTATTCTCTAAATATCTAGAAGTTCCCCCTCATACATTACTTTGTTGAACACTGTATCGACCATTTAATTACATTAATTTCTCACGATTTCCACACAACCCATCGCCGTTTCTACCACTTTCTTACACTTCATTAAATCTGTCACTTTTTGTGCTCCCACTTCTTCTTAATTGCATCTACCAATTATACATTTCTCTCTGTGTAACTCTTTTTGCTTCATACCTTTCTCACTTCTACTTACAAATCATTCTAGGCTATCCACATTTTCATTGCTCTATGTTATATATGTATTCATACATGTAGAAACTAAATTTAGGTTATGACCCAAGTATATACATTCAAGTTGACTTGAAAACGAGGATATTTTTTGTTTTTGTATTTTTTTATGTTTTAATTTACAAGTAAGACGTTATGGATACTTAATTTCCGGTTGTGTTTTTCCACGAATACACAACGGACTTGGGAGTTAGGAAATTGTATTAACTTGTATCAAAAGTTAAAACTATACATCTCATCGCGTTTTATTCGATTCGCCGAACAAATTATACTCACTTTACTTAAGTTACAATTATTCAAACGCAGTTAATTAGTTTCTACAGTTAAATTTTAATTCTCGGATTTGTTTTTTTTTAAATTGCATTATTAACGGGCCAATTGATGCGCTTGAACTTTTTGTTCTGTAATTTATTGCTAATTGTGATATTCGGTTTGCAACGGGATACAGCTGGAACTGAACTGATGTAGTTGATTTCGTCCAATTAAATCTAAAATACTTAAATTAATTTAAATGCATTTTTTTTTTCAAATAACTGTCTGTGTACAGTAGTCACTAAGTACAGTATACAGAGTATACTGATAACCCCAGTACTGCAATTAACAGTGCAGTCAAATTACTATCGTATCACTATGGCAATGGAGTTTAAGTTTTAAAATAATTAGACATGAATAAACTTAAATCTGTTAAGCTTAATGTTTAAAAGTAGTGGACTTGAATAAAGTCTAAGTACACTAATTGCACCATTATTGCGTTGTGTATGCGTTAAATGGCATATTTATATGATATCTTAAATACTCATACTGTGTGTGAGTAATAAAAATAAATATTTATATTTCTAAATCTTTTAGTATTTCTAAATGTTTAAATTTTGTTTACTCGTGTGCTTTTGCGGTACTCTTTTTACTTAAACTTTCATATTTTCTGCTAAATTCGTATTACTATCATCGACATGCTGGTACCTTGGGGATTAGGACGTCTTCGTTTAAAACTGCGTTGTCTGCTTGAACGCTAGAGAAAATAATATTGTACATTATATGACATACAAGAGCCTCACAAGTCGATCAATAATATTCCCTTAATATTACAAAAAACTAAACAGGAGTAATTAATATTTTTTAGTTGCTAATGACAATCATATATTATTATGTCACATTATACATGTGTAATCCTTCTGTTAGTGATCTATCAATTAAAGTTCCTCTTCGGTCATGTTGTGTTATTCCCACGTGTGACTAATTATAAACGATAAACAAAGGCTTAATAGTAGTTACTGCCATAAACCACAAGCATAAGCCATCTTAAAATGTAAGGACATATGATCGTGTGCTATGGTGACAAGCTTCCATTTTACACCTATTAGTTTATGTTAAACTAAATTAATTTTACCCCTCTAGTACATTCAAATATCATGTGTTATATAATAGGTTATTAAGATGAGTTGTGAGAGTATAAACGCTTGCTGATATATTAATATATATATATATATATATATATTTTTGAGAGCTTTACAAAATATTTTATAGAATTTAATTATTTAAAGAATTTTTTTTTTTTTTAGTCTTTATTAAATAAAATATTACGGCTCGACAATTAAATACAGTTCATTGCGATTGAATACAATTAAATACAACAATATGCATTAAATACGCATAATTAATAAATCCATCAATTGGGTCCTTAAAATGAATATAAAATGTTTGTACATATTTAATATATTGATTTGTACCAAAAAAATGAACAATTTCTACAGTTATAAGAATAGGCTTTACTGAACAACGCGGATTTTTTTTCTAATTTAACTTTTTACATTAAAAGAATAAAAACTTAATAATACCATACGGAAAAAAAAATAAAAACGAAAAAGTGAATTATACAAATATTTAAATATGAATATATTTTGTTATATTGTACTGTTATGTTTTTTTATTTTATTTTTCCAAAAAACAACCTAGTTATCCAAAAAAAAAAATTATAAAGCTCTATTGCATTACTATATCCACGATGCTTCAACCAGGTCACCAGAACATTTGGTATGACATCTTATCGAGTAACTCAATACCTTTATGGCTTTAAATTATGTTTGGATATTTCTAGCAATTTTGTAGTGCCGCATATATACCGGCGTGGCTTTATTGCGCGTCTGTTTTATGTACTATTAAGGTAAAGCGCAACCAATAAAATACGGTCCAAATCAAACTCTTAGTAGTAACTCTTTCTTATTAGATGGGGATGGAAATGTTTTCTTTTTGGCGTGGGTAAGTGCGCGTTCTCAATCAAATACCCTGCGGACCGAGTCGTTGACAATAACATAATATGAATTATTCTAATTATTACATAATTACACATATTATTGTCACGTACGGTTTTCGTTAGCACAAGTATTGTATTTATATGTATATGGTAAGTGTATGGTCGCTCAAGTCACCGTGTGTGACAACGACAAAAATAACATGTACTTACAGGACGGCATTGACGGCGGCGGCGGCGGCGGCGGTGCTCTTCCACGGCCGCGCGGTCGTCCGCTACACGCGCGCTACCCTGCACACAAGTACACACGCACACACAGGCCAAACTTGAGCTGGCAAAACGGTTGCACAGCGACTGCCGGTGTTCATTGCCCGACGGCCGCTCTCGCTATTCCACCGACACCCCCGGAACGACTCTGTTGCATGCGGTTTTCCTGGAGACGTGTCACTTCCCCCTGGATGTTGGTCCACTGGTAGAATTGCCATGCACCGATTTCGTTTTTGAACTGTTCATATTGCTATTGTTACTATCCGTCGTCGGTTCGGCCGATCGTACGCGTCGGTTTGTTTTTTTTTTTCCGGCTTTATTTATTTACCTGTTTTTTTATAGTATTTCCGGTCAACGCGAACGATCTACCGGCAAGAGGAGGCATTTTCCATCCGAATCCGTGGACGACTGGACCGAGGTGAGTACATACGTACGTGAGAAGTTGTGTAAAAAAAAAAAATATATAAAATTTCAAAAAAAATTGACGTTGGATTACGTCAATATAACGGTCGGAGCTTCAAAAGCCGGTAAAAAAAAAAACCCGAATTGTGTTTAAACGAATTTTGGCAACAAAAAAAAAAAAAACTATAATCACCTCAGCGGATAATATCAATTTTTTTCGGATTTAAAATTTTTTAACGAATTTCTTTTGTCGGATTTTCGGTGTGAAGATTTATTTTACCGCCAGTATTGGTAGTTAATCATGCGCCTCGCTACTTCCAACTGAAACAAGCCAATCATTATTTGATAATCCTAAAGCATTCGTCTTGTAAAAAATTGTTGTATTATATCATTAAGAACGAAAACACTACATCACTTATGCTCCAGTACTCGGGTCGAAAAGTGTTAAAGGGTTCATTTAGCACCATATTTAATTTGAATAAAATTTCTAACAAAATTGTTTTAAAACCTATTGTGTTTTACTTCTCAACCGATAAAAATGCCAAAAAAACCTGATAATGTAGAGAAATTATATTGTTTTTTAATTATTGGTTTAGTCATAAACCTGGAAATCATTAAAAAAATTAATAAGGGTTTTTTTTTTTATAAGTCATTACAAAAATAATAATTATACTAACACACAAAACCCGTTTCCTTATTGTACCTACTTGTAAGAAAATATTATAATTATTTTCACATTTTTCATATAACGCCTCAGTGGTTTATCGAAGAGAGAATAAATATTTTTAATGGCTGCAAATCGTCGGTCTGATCTAAATACAATTGAAATTACGACATATTTTGTGTAATAATGAAAACTTAATAAGTTCATACCCGAATGAATATCGTCAAGTGAAAATTCATCATCATAATAATATTATTAATACGCCACAATATAGTACTTCAATTAAGATATGACAAAATTACAATTTCATCGCCTCGGATATTTACAAAATGCTTACTGCGTGTGACACTAAAATATTAAGCCAAAACTTATGCTACATGTTTGTTTTTCAAAAATCGGGATTTGCTGGTTTTAAACTTAAATAGACCTTTCAATATTATAGGTTAGTTAAGTAATAAGTGCATGACTTCAATAACGTTTACTTACTCGATTAATTCATATTTTGGAGTAACCGGTACATTGTTATAAAACCATAAAAATCAAAATTTGGAAGTGAAATTGTTCAAAATCTTAAATATTATGTATGTTATGCTGTAAACATACCTGCTTGAAAACATGTTCATCATATAAAAAAATGCGTGACAAATATTTCATGGTATTTTACATACATTATTAATTGTATATCAAATTTTACTTGGAAAATTAAATACTTTAAAACTACTTAAAAAATGTAATTAAAATCACATTTTATATAATTTCGTGTAAGTTAATCTCTATCAGTTTCTTTATTTGAGTTTTTATTGCAGTTTTCGGTTAATTTACATTTACCTTCTCATCTGATTACAATAACGGATTAATCCACTTTGTATCGCTATACTTAGCCGGTTCAAAGTCAAAACTCGCTGCTGCAAATGTTTTTTGGACAGTTTATCGACAGCGATTAGGCTTAGTACGCTTAATGTTAAATTCATAGGCCGTGATCAGTGTCGGTTCAATGATCGATGGATCAACCTAAGAGATCGACTAACTTTTGAAAGTAACTCATTAAAAGTCCGGGCTAAATTCTTAATGCGCGGTTAAATGCAATAGTTACAAAAGCTGTTACAAAACACGGAGGCTATACATTCAAAAATAACATGTCAACAATTAATGTGTTTGAATTCAATTAAAAAAGTCTTAAAAAGAAAAAAGTTATTTTACAGAAACTATACCGTTCGCCCGAGATAGTATTTGCGTTTTCGTTTAAATTTATACACGTATTATACTGGTTTTTTATTGTTAACTAGGTTTCTTTACTATACATAATAATATGTATCATGTAATATAGGTATACAGTTTGAGTATTGACCTTAAACGTGTAGGTACGTCGTCACCAAAATTTTAAGTCTCGGTCAGCTTACGACCTTTCGTTAAAATATAATAAACATAATATACTTAATATTGAAGTACACAGCAATAAATGCATAAAAAAAAAAAATCAGAAAAAGCGATTGTTATTTTTGTAAATATATTATGGTATATTTTATTAGAATTAACAATATCTTACACTAGTTTCACCTAAATTGTATTACAATACATTAAACAATATTATTTAAAAGTATGATAATAATTTATATGCAAAAAAAAAAACAATTGAACATCGATGGGCGATTTCGAAAAATCTGTTAAACGTCCAACGTTTTCTCATGAACATTTATTTTATTTTATTTTATTACATTGAACTGTATCATTAATTTTTGTCAAATTACAACCGGTACCTATTGTGTTGTCACGGACAATAAGTTATTCACGAAGGTCATTATAATATTGTTAAAACTATTAAGCTAATTTTAACGGCTAACTTTTGTAATAAAATTACCAACACGAAATTCAATTTTGACATACTATAAAAAAAAAAAATCTGTTTTTCGTTTACAACTTTTTTCGACTAATAACGTTAAAAATTACTCTGGAATAAAGTTTGAACATAAAAAAAAAAAATCGTACCTCCGTTTATTGGTGGTTTTATTTTGTTCATTAATTCCGCAGCTGTCTGTTTTGGCTGTATATTATTTTCCAAAAGAATCAATTTCTGCTTCGTTGCTCGAAATTGGCTGTGGAATGCTTAAAGCTTATGTACCGTAAAGGTTTAATCGTTATACCATTAGGCACCAAATGCGAGCTTCAATACGCTTCGTTCAGTCAAAAATTCAGTCAGGTGCCTTTAAAATGTTTAAATTACACTTTGCTTGAACTACACGAGTAAAATATATAAAATGCATTACATTATTTAGCACATAACGTAGCGAATGTGAAAACATTACTTTCGTGGACAGGCGACATTAATTTGCTTCACTTTACCACGTCCAAAAACGAATACTTTAGTGTGGTTAATATTAAACATGTATTACATATTTTGTTAACACGTGAACCATACATTTTTTCGAGCATTTTATTTTGTGTTTCTAAAACAATTGCGTTTGATAGAGATATAAGACCAGCTTTTTCACACAATAACTCTAAAACATTTATGCAATTATATAATATGTAGTTACAATCAGATTTCCTGGCTAAAAACATAAACCTTGTTAACGCAGTGTTTTTAATATTTTAAATGCGATTTACAACAAAAAAAAAAAAACAGGCGTACTACACAAAATCTTAGGCCAGATTCGTCGAAAAACAACCTATATATAATTTAACCTGACAACCGACTTAGCGGTCGTTTTCGATTCGTATCTGCAGTTACCTCCACATCTGTGGAGCATAGCAACACGCGCCTTATATAGCAGCACCGGCATGGTTTTCCGACACCATAGCGCATCAGGAACGCCGACCTTCAAATAATTATTACACTTTATTGCGCCAAACTCCATGAATTACCACCACCGCCGGCATAGGCAAAACCCAAGATAAATCACGCTTGTCTATGATAAACCTTGTTTTAACGGTACCCCAGGGGGGACGTGTTGCAGCCACTATACACTGTAGCTATACACACCCAAGCACCAGCACCACCACCACCACCCACGCCGGTCTGCCGGTCGTCTGGCGCGTTTAACGCGCACCGTTGCGTTCAGAGGGCTGTCGCCGTGATGGACAGGTGTCACAAAGCCCGCACGTCGATTCCAATCAAAATTTCAACCGCACCGGACAGATTGCCAGGACAAATCACCTGACAATAGCTATGCAAACCCTCACACGGCGACCCGTCTTGTCAATCTGTCCGTAAAAAATCATAATGATCCACCGACAATCCAACCGCGGTAATCCTGTGCCGGGGTCGTCCGTTTTGGTGTTTCAAAATTTGAGCTGTTAAACATGTGTTACCTAAAGATTTCCATAGGTAACGCACGCGGCAATCTAATTAAACCGACAATGAGATGGTCGAAGAGAAAAAGAAAAACTGACTGTACGAGACGCGAGCTCCGTTTATAATTTTTACAGTTATTTGTGTTCTTTACATTATGATAAATATCATATGCGTTGTATCGTTTATCCCTTGACCGCCGGGATAGGTTGAAACGGGGTCGAATAATAACGCGTTAATACCATTAAAGTGTGCCATGCTGATTACTAAACAAGTAAACGGTTTAACGGTTTCGACTTCAAATACATATCACAGGTACGACTGCCGCACGCAAATTAAATGTAATACCCATCCAGCCTTTCGCCATGACAGGAAAATTATATTTCCCCCTTTGAAATCAATTAGGTCGAAAGGGTTTTAAATTTAATTTTGCCATAGTCTCACAGTTCACTATATTGGGTACAGCTTTACAATGTATACTATTGCAATGCATCTACATTTAAACTATTTTTTATTGTTTAAAAAAACCCATCTATTGGATTTTTTGTTTTCATTAACTCCAAAAATTTCGGGGTGGGGAAATACTTATAATAGAGCCTAGCAACTTTTGGAATAACAAAATAGTTAATTATAAAAACCCGTCATTTTGATTATTGTTTAGTTAATTAGCATAGTTTAGTGTTTTAGAAGTAAACTCGACAGTAGCGAGTAAAATAGTGATTTATAGGTTTAAAATAAAAAAATATAGAAAATGAATACAAATTCAATCCAATATATTTTATACAAAATTATAGGCCTTGCCATGAAGTTTATATTTTGGTAAAACCGTGTTTTCAAAATTATATCTAAAATATGATTATTGTAACTGTTGGTGTAGATACTAAGTAATTTATATTATTATACACGATGCATATTTTTTTCCTTAGCGCACCAGAGTTCTCAAAATTAAATTATATTCTCTTGCTATCTCGGTAGGTATCGTTTTTTTGTATTAAAAATTTTTTAAAAAAACCCAGTTATCAATTGTGTACTAAATAATAACAACAATATGGCTCCTACGCTG